ATGCAGACACACAACAGGGCTGCATGAAAGCATTTCCTTGGAGCATGTGTTGCTTGTCGGGCTACATAACATGCAGATATTTTTTCTACTAGCATGATTTGTCTTGCTGGGGTCAAACACACAACGATGGTCCAAAAAAACCCCCAAAAAACATGACTTTAAGAAATACAGTTCTTTGGGTGTCATTTTTAACCAATACGTCCACTCTGTACTCAGCAGAATCACTACAATGAAGTCAGGGGACAGAGTTATAGTTTTTGTACACTCTTGCAGACACTCCTTTTAATTGGTGATCGTGCGTGTACTCAAGGTTCTGATAGCTGTGGCCGTAGAGAACAATGCTGCGATGAAGTCAAAGATTTGTGGACTGAGTTGCAAAAAGGTTTTAAAATATTAATTAACCAATAAATTAGGAGTCATGACCAGACCCGACCTTCCTGCAGACATCTAGAATCTGCTCCAAATAGCTGGGCTGCCAACTCAAAGCAGCATTCACTTCTCTCAAGACATCAAAATACTTGAAAACCAAAGCTAACGTCGGACTGATTAATAGCAGTCTTTATCTTATGCTGCCCAGTGTCACAATCTGCAATACATGAAGCTTTTGATATACAACATGGGCTTGGATTAAAACATTCATTTATTTGATATGAAGGATTAACTTACTCTAGTAGTATAGGCTATAGGGCCAGAATCCCTGAGGTTAGCCTGGGGGTTATAAGATCCTCCTGGGGAGCAGAAATCCATTTTAGAAAAACCTCAACACGATCAGTTTCAGATTAGGTTTAACCAAGACCAGAACAGATGTCGAGCAAAAAGTAGGTGAGAAATTAAAGAAGTGCTGAAAACTCAGTTTCAGAGAAGAAGGAAACCTGAGGATAGGTACCTCGGTGCCAACCAGAGGAGCGAAAGGTTTGTGCCGGTCCCCTGCCACCACGTGCCATACCTCTCACAGATCCTCTGGTGCTGTATGACCGGCTGGGTCGGCTCACACTTCCACCTGACTGGCCAGGGGACAGGAAGAGCTGTCCTCCATTACCCAATGTGTAATCTGTCTGATACACTAGACAGGGCATACAGCGAGAGTGTGTTGACTGTTGACCATCCAGCCCATGAGGGTTGAGCATTCAGGGAAACAAAGAGTTGAATCAACTTACCGGGCTGCAGCTCATCTTCTGAGGGAGCAAACTCAGGTGGTGTTTGGGTGCTGGCAGTGCTGTACATGGGCTTGGAGAAAGCTGCAGGGTCTGGTTTGTAGTTTGGTTCCCCATTCTGGGGTAAGGAGGCGTTCACCTTGAAGACCTACAAAAAGCAGAACATAGACACCAGAGTAAGTTGAAGCAACGTGCAGAACCCCATTCAGATCCAGATGGTTTAGACTCTCTGGATCTAGTCAAATCAGATTTCAGTTCACATTTGGAAATACAATGTGTTCATGTGTTATTTAATTATTCTTCTGCGCTCACATTTGATACTGATCCTGCTATGACTGCAAGCATTCAGAACCCACTGACACTTCCTATGTATGAGTTACATTAGATGGCACGCCGTCAAAAGGGACAAGTGTGTAAACAAACAAAGATTTCCCTTCTAATGTTCTTTGGTGAAGTTTCAGCTATTACCAAACACTTTCTGATGTCTCACCACCATCCTCTGGACTGAATTAACCCCATTTCACATGAAGTCAGAAGCAAATATGAGGCTGATGCAAATTAATTCATACCTGGAACCAAGGCTGCGGTCTCACAAATGCCACTGAAAAGCAAACCTTCTAATCTAAAGCTGTTCAGTAGTCGAGAAGGCAGCTAGAACTTAAGAAAACACAACTTTAAAACTTGCAGTGCCCGTACCATTAGAAAAGGTTTCTGTGTCTCAGTATGTGGAGGAAGACTGTGGACGTTGCTTTAACTCCACATTCAAACTGTTCCAAACATACACCAGCTGTATGTTTGGAACAGTATATAAAGTATAAAAACATGATCTTTACACGATACGAGGATGAAGAGGGGGCTTGACCTACGCCACATGTTTACAGGAGTTAATGTTTATCTTTTTACTTATTGGTAACTATGAATTATTCTCATTCGGTTTTCCTTAGTATGAGTGCATGTGTATGTACATGTGTGTATGTGTATATTTATATAGATATATAAATTGGTAGCATCATATTGTATCATAAGTATAAACAGAAATTGTATATCATATTTAGGAAACTGGAAATGATCAGTCAATAATTTATGGAAAAGGGGTGGGATTAAATCAGTTTTTATACACTTCTCACTCCTTTTCAAATATGTACAGTAAGTGTATATTTATAGATATGAAATATTAATTCTTTGTTTACTTGGTACTTGTCTTTACATATTTGAAATAAATATTTCAATCACTCACAACCCAACCAAATGTAAGACCAGCACGCTACACCAGACGACCCTCCATCTACCTGGTACTAACATGCTGTTCCTTATCAATCAGAAAAATGTAGATTTCTTCATTTCCAAGCAGTACCGGCCTACCACTATTAGTCTACTGCCCCTACCATTTTGTATAATTAGGTTTACTCCTAATGTGGCCAAAACTGAGACTGTTGTATATCAGGTCTGAATCATTCCAAGACAGGTAGAACTAATATGTGGAGGGTGAACCTCAGACGTAGACTAATGAAAAGCTTGGTTTGGTAAAACTTACTGACGGGATGTTCTGAAACTGTGTGGAGGTGAGACTTCGCCTGGTTGGAGGTGTAGTGAAACTCCGTCCCTGAGGTGGGGTAGAGGAGCAGGACGCCAACCCATTAGAGGGGGACTGCTTCCCTGAATCACTTACTGGCGTCTGTGGAAGGTTAAAGGAAACACAAAAAAAAACCATCCTGGCAAACCTTCATAGTCACTCATTTACTTCATCAGTTGACATGGTTACGGACGCCCACGTACCCGAGGACTGCTCTTCTCCTCCAGACTGACAGAGATGCTCGACTCCCTGCGGTACAGTGGCGGTGAGGAAAACGCCTTTCTTTCAGCCAGGTGCAGTGGCTCCTGCAGAAACACAACCACTTGAACAGCCACCTACAAATGTGGGGCATAACACTGTTGTATTTGTTCAGCCAGTTACTGTGTCTTACATGAGGTAGGTCCTTTGCAGAAAGCTCCTGGTCGAAGGTCTCCAGGCACTGATCCCCATTGTTTAGACTGGCTTTGCACTCCATAAGCCTGGCAGGCAGTGGGGTGGACTGAATGAGGGAAATAAAGATGAAGCCCAAATGATTTTCATCTTACCTCACACCTGACTTCTTCAGGAAAAGAACAAAAAAAAAAAGTGTCCGCTCACATGCATTGGTTTGGGCAGGACATCAGCAGGGCTTCTCAAACCAGCCCGAGCTGGTTAGAAGAAAAAACACAAAAATGTTCAGTAATTACCCTCCAAAATAGTTTTCAATAAGACACAAAATGCAAACACACAAATGTTCAATTTCCACATGAGTTTACTGCTTAAGTATGTCTGTACCCAGTGCTGTGTGGAGGTTTTATTGGTCCACCATTAGCTTAGCTGCAGAATGAATTTAGCACAAGTTGAAGCCTCTGTTATTGGTCAAAAAATTAAAAAAAAAATCACCTGGTGTCTTAAACCACTCTGCTAAGTCCTCAGAAGCTGACTCACCTGCAGGCTAGTCTAGGTCCAGTTATTGTGGTATGTTGGCCTGACAACCAGACAAATCTGAGACCTTAGTTTCACTCAAAATAAGTTTTCACCTGACTTTGCTCTCTCTGGGCCAACCAGAACTTTTTTTTTTTTTTTTTTTTAAATCTAACATAAAATTGAGTTTGATGCCATGACTTTACCAATGAGCACCATTGGAGGTACATTTGGTGTCACGTTAGTATTAAAAGAACTGTGCAACTTCATGACAAGAAAAGGCCTAAGATTGAGTAAAGTAAAGTCACTGTGACGTGCATATGGAGCACAAAATGACCTGCAGTCAGTAGACTTGTTACGGAGATAATCTGCACAGTCTCATGTTTTGAGCTGTCCGCAGCAGAAGTCAGTCCTGAATAGCTGAGACACCTAAACACCTTTACTAAAAGCTGAATTTAGAAAATCTTTAAACCTGCAATGTTTGCAAAGCCAGCAATCTTGGTGAGATGAATAGCTTGAAACATTACATGGTAGCACGACTAGCGGTCAAAACTCCAGACAGAACCTTTGACTTGACTGTTGCAGAATTTAAGCATCAAACTTAGTTTTCAACTTAAAAAAAACAAAACAAAACAAAAAACCCAAGACCCCCTCATGTTTGCCCCTCTATTTCTATGAGAAATAAACTAAATCAGCTGCTGAAGACCTTGTGACAGAATTTAAAGCTCTGAAAAAACCTAGCAAGTCAACCTTCAGTTGGGATCATTGTGGGAAACTACAAAACTTGTTGATTTGTTGTAAGTTACCCAGAGGAGAGGGAGATCCAGATGGCCGTCTCTTCAGTCTGGGGTGGCCCTGAGTTGGGGAGTTTTCACCATCTAGAAGAGAGTCCTGAACAGGACGGCATCTTTTTAAACTCTTCAATAGTCGTGACTGACAAAGCAGACTAAACACTCAAACCAATCACCAGTGTCACTGTCAGAAGGAGAAAAGTTGTACATTACCAGCTTTCCAGGATAAATCTATGACTTTTAGCAATGGGAGGAACAGGCTACCTGTAACAACCTCCATGTTCACAACGTTGGACTTGCTCAACCGATTACAGACTGCTACACCAAACTTATTCACCATGCCACTGCCCACGTAGTTAACAGAGCAATTGAGTAGTTAAATAGTTAAAGACTAAGTACAATTTCACTAAACTAAGATTCTCTCTGGTTAATGACAGCCTGACAAACCACAGCATCACCTCGTTTAGGATAGCAATTAAAGTACATGGGCTTAGAGACAGCCAAAGTCCACCTGCATGAAACTGAACGAGCCGTGGATCTTTGTCATGAGGTCCTCAAGGTGCTGCTTCCTCAGAATGGGATCTTTGGGAAAGGCAGACGGGGAGTTGAAAATCTCCACAGGCATGTCCATGTGAACTGCCTGTCAGAAATCATTAGAGGATAGAGGGCAAACAGATTCAAGTTTCGAGACAGTGTACAGACAGCTCCACTGGAAACCATTTCTGTACTCACCGATTTGGCATTTTGCTCCCCTTTAGCTTTCGTCTCTTTTCTCTGAGGAAAATATCATGGCATTAATTGTCTGAGACCAACATTAAACAACCAGTTTAAAAGTGACAAACAGAGCCCCTTTACCTTCTCTAAGTGAGCTCACTCTGGAGTATTACAGCATCACTTACCGCCTGTTCATTTAGACCAACTTCTGCATCAGTAAACTCCACCCTTAAATGTCAGATAGCATCACAATTATCTGTTCACTTGCTGACAGTCTGAGCAGGAATGGATATCAAGAATTGTATGCTAGTATTTCAAGGAAACTCCCATCTTGTGCTTGACATGTAGATTAAATGTGTCTGACATCAAAATAAGTTAAATCAAGAGGTCCCAAGTTAGGTTTTAGCTAAAAGACCACTGGAAAGCTGAAAATCTGACCAGTTTTAGCATCTTTACAGTTTCTAGCACTAAAATGGGGTTATTTAAGATTTTTTATATAGATAAATAAAACCGATTCAAAGGCTTGAAGAACTCATTTGGTAAGAGAATTGAATACTACCCGACACTGCAAACTTCCAGAGATTTATCTGAAGTAGCTAGCACCATTAAAACCCAGAGAAGAAAGGTGCAAAAGCTGAAACTAATCAACTGTGTCAAAAGTTTAGGCTTAAAGCTGGACTAAAGTACACGTCATTATGGAATTAGTATATAAATGATTTTAACTGTTCACTGGGAAGTGACAAGATAGTTTTGAGATTGGACGGAAATTATGTCATTCAGATTTGCTATGATCTTTTCCCTTAACTTTAATATGTCGATAGTTTCAGTTTGTCACCCTCTGTTGCGCATCAATATGCAACAATAAGGCATTCGCTGCCACCAAACTGGAAGGAGGAGATAAGCTAAAGGAGTGGTTTGCTTCAGTTCTGAAATGAAGGAACAATGACGTGTTCTTCTAGACACAACTGTTGGCATCAGCAACACAAGGATTATTAAAATCAGCACATTTCATGGCCATCTGTTATCTGATTAAGGTCAGGAACAGAACATGATTATAAAATGACCTGGAAGCACCAGGACTTTCACAGTTTTGGACCTATGGGTTGTGTCCATCTGTGGGTCTGCATCCTGTAAAAAAGTTGCCAGTAAAAATGGAAATATCTGACACAGACTTCACAATGAGGGATACGAGAAGATTAGTGACCAACCAAACAGCTGCAGCAGTAATCAGGAGGTATAGAAGGAGCTTCAGTGCTAATCAGAGCCACAGCGGTCATCCTCCTAAAATGACTGCTGCTTGCATAATCTAACTCTGAAAAACAAATGGGCAAGTGCTTCAGCCTTTGTGTACTTAATCAGAGTTTGTGGCACCTCAGTGTGAAAAGCACTCAAATCTACGTCAGTGGGGGGGGAAAAAAAAACAAAAAACTTTTACTTTCCATTTGACACAAAATTATGACAAAACTTTGTTACAAAATATGAAAAAAAAAAGCCTGATGAACATTGGGAGCACATTCTTTGGTCAGATGAGACCAAGATAAATGTTTCCACGTTTGGCATGAATCTGACCAGGACGACCAGTGAATGCATAGATGGAGCAATTAGGCACAGAGGTGGCAGTGTGACGATATCGTGCTGCACACATGCAAAAGGTTTTGGGGAGATGACTTTTATAGAGGACATCATGAATGTCTGTGTACCAAAATACTGGCCGACAATTTGACTCCCAGTCTGTAGATGCACTGCGAAAGGATTATTCAAGCATAAAATATTATACAAAAAAACGAAACAAACACTGCCACAATCCCACAGGAGTTTCTGAAGAAGAAAAAAAAAAGTTTCAACCATGACCTGACCAAGTATGTCACTGACTTAAATCCAGTAGAAAACCTTTGTGGCATCATAAAGGAAGGTAGAACAACAACCTCTCCAGCAAAAAACAGCTGAAAAATATTCCCTGAAGACTGACAGAACACCTCTTCAGTAGTGCGTGCAACACTGGTGTCCTCTATGCCGAGGAGAATTTAAAAAACAATAACAAAAACAAAAAAAAGGTGGACATACGAGTACCAAAAAACCCCATATACTGACTTTTATTGCATTGAGATCCTACAGTGGAGCATCTAGTCTGAATATGTTTGAACAAAGCTGTTAGTTTTCAGTTTTACACAAAAGCAAATACTTTCTGTTCATCTGTTCATCTTTAAGCGCTATGAGATGACTGTTGTTGTAAATATGCGCTATACAAATAAAATTGAATTGAATCTATAAAGAAAAGCAATTCCTGTAAGGTGGTAGAATTGATTAATTTTATATTATTTTTATTGCTCTGAAGGCAGCTTATTGACGTGAAGCGTCTTTGGTGCGAGATGTCGTGCTTTGCTTCTGAAATAAGGGAATTTAAGAAAGGTCAGCAGTAAAGTATGAGTGGAGCTACATTTTGCTCTTATGGATTTAAAAAAGCCAATGCCGTTCCAAAAACAGTTAGTGTAGCAAAGTTAGAACCACCTCTATGCATTGGTATCTCTCTGCCAGTCGGTCAACTTCCATGTCTGTCCACACCTGACCTTGTGCATATAAAATGTCATCACCTCATTATTTAATTCTGTTCGATATCTGTGTGAGAATCTGTCATAAGTGTCAAATGAATTCTAGCATTATGGCTGAAAATGTGTTTTGTGAGGTCTCAGCTGTAAGAGGCACAGAACTACCAACGTATGGAGTACTTTGACAACAACGTAGTCCACCACATGTTCAAGTGTTCCGTTCTTTGCCGACATTCACAACTGCAATGCCAAGAGAGGTTAGGCGACATCTCACCTGTTTGGAGTGAGCAGACTGTTTCTTGGAGGTGACTGGGACAACTTTGGGGATGAAGGTGGCAGCTCCTCTCCACGGTTTGGAGACTGCCGTTTGTAGTGCCGAGGATCCATCTGGGCTCTCCACATCCCAGCACTCAGGGGGCTCCTGTTCCTCAGGAGTCTTGCTGGGAGGAGGTGGAAGACAACTGAAGAACTTGCAGTTCAACAACATGGAGAGGTCTTCTTTCAAGAGCTTAACTGAAAAGGCAAACAAGTATGTGACACTGAGCCTGGATTTTTCAGCTCGTCAAAGATGTCACAAAATCTTAAGACGATTTATTTATTTATTTCTAAACAATCCAAATTTCACATCCAGCACCCATCAACAAACATTTATGGAGACGTTCGATATCACAAAACATTGTTTGAATTCTTTCCAGTAGTTAAACAGTCTGACAGCACTCGTGTCTCTGCCTGAAATTTAAAATTTGACGACTTCATGTTATAACTAGTTTGTCTAATCCACATGCAGACAAGTTGTAGTTTTGTTGTTTTCTGGTTTTTCCCTCCACCTACTGCCACGAGCTCAACATTCAGCAAAGGGCTCCTTTACCTTTAATGGCAGGGAACCACAATGAAGACATTCATTTAAAACATTTAGATGGAAAGGATTCATTTATAGTCAGAAATGCATTTGTTTAACCCTCCAAACAGTTTCTGGGCACTTCAGCTGCTGTCACATTTTTACACCCTGTGGGCAATTAAAGTCTTAGATCTTTAAAAACCAAACACCCAGGGCTAGAAACACAGAACACCAAAAAAACTAAACAAAAAAAAGCAGAAAAGTTTGATTTGTTTGAAGTTATCCATTTTACACAAACTCAGAGGAATGGAATAAATATGAACTAAATCTTTCTAAGGCCTGCAGATGAAAACAAAACACAAATCAGTGGTTACATGAGATATTTTGCTTCTCACACTTTTAATGTGTTTCTGTACTCGTTTCCTCTCGGCTCTGTGCAAACAGCCTGCAGCTCAGCCACAGACTCCCAAAATCTGTCACACTGTTGGTTGGAGCTGAGTCCATTCATGGCTTCTCAGTTATACTAAGTTCTTGTTTTCTTTACAGAACCTGGTTTCTCCAAACAGACATTTTGGACATTTCTTATTGAATCCTCCCCCCAAACTTCTCTTTTTTAGATTATCTGGCAGAGGGGGAGGACTTGCTGTAATTTATAATAACTACAACTGTTCAATAGTATCTGTGGGTAATTTTTCCTCATTTGAGTCGTTGTGTTTTTATATTAAAGGGGACCTTAAGACTCTGTGCATTTTAATATACAGACCCCCTAAATCTGTGTCTGGTTTTCTCCATCAGTTGCTTTCTCTAGTTATTCCAAACTATGACCGCATTCTGTTTGTAGGAGACTTTAATATTCACGTCTGTGGCCATGACAACCATTTAGCAACTGAGTTTTTAACCATTTTAGAGTCTTTTAACTTAAGCAGAATGATCAATGGGCCGACCCATAACAAAGGCCAAACCCTCGACCTTATCCTCACTCACTGTATTCTACTGGACAATGTGTCATGTGGTCTGAGACAATGAAATCTTCACAAGTGCATCATGTTTACCTCAGAGGTCAAGTCCAAGCGACCCAAAAACAACCCAAACTATGTCTGCTCTCGTGTTTTTAACTCCACCTCTGCATCCAAATGTAGAGATGCTTTCACATCCACTTCTCTTAAAATCGACTCATGAAGATGTGGATGTAATCCTTAATAACTTCAACACAACCTGTTCAGTAATCCTTGACCAAATCGCTCCTTTTAAACATAAAAGGCCGTCCATTGCTGCCAGGCCACGGCTCTCTGACAACATACGTGCCCTGAAGGAGGAGTGTCGCAGAGCGTAAGTGGAAAGCCTCCAAGCTCACAGCACACCACGAAATATTAAACAAATGAAAAGTTTTAATTCAGGTCAGAAACGCAAGAGCAAACAATTTTTCTGAACTGATTGAGAAAAACAGACATAATTCAAGGACCCTGTTCAATGTAATTAATCATGTCACAGAAGCCCCTATGACTGTTTTTATCGACTCTTCTCCAGAGAAATGTGAGGAATTTTCAAACTTCTTTGAGAACAAAGTTTCCAGCATCAGGATGCACATTCCTCTGTCTGTTTCTTTTAAAGCTACTGCTCACCTGGAGTCTTTTGACGCCGTTTCAATCGACACCCTCTCTGAAATTTTCCACAAAATGAAACCCTCCTCCTGCCTCAGACATCCTGCCTGTGAGGTTTCTTAGTAGTTTGACTTCGTAAGTCCTGATATTCTTAAATTAATAAACTCATCTCTTAACTAGTGCTGTTCCTGCTGATTTAAAAAATTTTTTAAAAAAAGCAGAAGTTCAATCACTCTTGAAAAAAGCATCACTAGACCCAAACTGCTTGAACAATTATAGACAGATTCCAACACTGCCTTTTCTTTCCAAAATGCTTGAAAAAATTGTGGCTGAACAAGTAATCGCTTTCTTAAACAATAATGACATTTTTGAAACATTTCAGTCTGGTTTCAGAGCAAAGCCCGGCACAGAGACGGCACGACTTAAAGTTTTTAATGATTTGCTAATTGCTGCTGATGCTGGAAAATCTTCTGTTTTAGTTCTTTTAAATCTGAGTGCTGTCTTTGATACTGTCGACCATCTTATTTTACTGGAACGTTGAAACACTGGGTTGGCATTTCTGGTTCCGTTTTAAACTGGTTTTATTCTTATCTGTTTGACAGGTCTTTTAGCGCCGCCATTGGCAGCTCAGTCATCTTGTACCAAGCTGACCTGCGGGGTTCCCCAGGGGTCGGTCCTTGGACCACTCCTATTCTCCCTTTACATGTTACCCCTGGGACATATCATCCACAATCACAACCTGAGTTTTCACTCATATGCGGATGATACACAACTGTACCTGTCTTTTAACCCCAATGATTTAATCAATTACAATCTCTTAACAGCTGCATCCAGGACTTTAAATGCTGGATGGCTCAAAATTTCCTCCAGCTAAACTTAGACAAAACAAAGTAATAATTATTGATCCTGATCAGCCACAGCAGCAGCACACTTAAGTTTGTTATCCTGTAGTATAGCTGCAAAATGTAAAACTCTTTGGGTCATTTTTGATGAAAACCTGAACCTGAACCAGCATGTCAACTCAGTGGTGCAGTCTTTTTTTATGCAGCTTAGGAGGCTCTCTAAGGCGAGGTCAGTTCTATCCAGACATAATTTAGAACTTGTCATTCATGCTTTTATCTCATCTCGTTTAGACGACTGTAACTCTCTGTACACTGTTCTTAGCCAGCAGAGTCTTCACAAACTACAGCTGGTCCAAAACACAGCAGCCCGACTCCTCACCAAATCCAAAAAGAGAGATCACATTACTCCTGTTTTAGCTCCCTTCATTGGCTTCCAATTAATTTCAAAATAGATTTTATTGTCAACTTATAAAGCACGCTCTGGACTGGCACCTCAATACCTTCCTGATCTCCTCCCTTTATGTGCTGGTCATAGCCTGCGGTCCTCAGCCGAGGCTCTGCTCATCCTCCCACAGTGGAGGCTGAGGACCAAAGGTGACCGGACCTTTTCTGTCAGAACCCCACCCTCTGGACCAGCCTCCCTGAGGAGATCAGATCTGCAAACACTTTATCCTCCTTTAAAACTCTTTTAAAAACACATTTTTACAGGAGTTGTTTTATGAGTGGACTTTTACTCCGTTTGATGGCCGTGTCGAGGGCAGCACATTTTAATCTTCTTTCCTTTATTGTCTTTTAACTGTCTTCTTTTACTGGGTTTTTTTCCTCTTATACATTTTTATATTGTTTTATTCTCTTTCATGCTTTATGTGTTTCACCTTCACTATTTCTTTGCTTTTTACTTCTTCTAATGTACTTATTTGTTGTTTTCCGTACACTTCTCTTTTAATCTATAAAGCACTTTGTAACCGTATTTTGAAAAGTGCTACATAAATAAAGTTAATTATTATTATTTTAAAAAATAAAATAAGTGATTTTGAAGCTTGGATTTGCACACTTTTGTGATGACATGCCACATCACAGATGAGCAGTTCAAGGACAGTCAAAGTTGCACAACTGGCTTTGAGAAATTGTGTTTGTCAATTTGTTTTAAAGATATCAATGTTTGGGGTTCAGAGGGTTCAAGAGATCAATGATTCAAGATTCCTTGGAATGTATTTTCATCAAAATCATGCAATAACACAGATGGCATCTTGTTGTAAACCAAAACAGGTTGAAGCTAAATATGTCAGACTCACATGAGGATCCAGCCACTGGCTTGTCTTTCCCCTCCAGCAGGTCCAGGTAGACCAGAGATGCCTTCTCCATCTGCTTCTCTAAGCTGCAGCAGACGGAGGACAGAGGAGACATCAAGCCCTGTGGCTGCTTTCACAAAGACATTTAGACTTATCTGACCTACAGACCCACAGGTCCATGGTGACATCTGACAAAAAAAAAAAAAAAAGGGGGAAGAACACAGCTCATAAGTTGTGGTTTGCCAATACTGTGGAGCAAGAAGAGAATGAGCTCTGAAGAAGAACACAGTGAGACGCTGACTGGACCATTATATGCTTCAATGAATTTACCAACTGAAACGTCCTGTTTACTTAAATCCTTCAAGAAGGCCTACATTGTTTCCTAGAGTGAGTTTAACTCAGTTGTTTGATGTGCTCTGTTAATCAGGGAGGCTTTTTAAATCTGAAACAATCTTTTATTTAGAATTAATACCAAATCAATCCTTCTTTAGACAGCCCAGAGACAAAACACTTGTCTACATTATACTGCTTCCAAAACTACACAGCAGTGCAAATTCATGGGAGAAAAACAACAACAAACCTTCTAGTCCTCCCTGATGGAGCGTATTTGCTTTTGGCCAGAAAAGAGACATGTTTGCTGGTAAGCATATACCGGTAGTGGATTTGATCATTTATAACAGGGGTTCTCAACTGGTCTCACACTGGGACCCACATTGTCCCATGGTCATTAAGTCGCGACCCACTTTTTTTTAGAATTCAATATATTTTCCTGTGCAACATGCATTTCAGAGCATATGACCGTGCATAGTAACTGGACCATGACAAAACTGCACAAAATAAATAAGGCCACAAAACTACATGTTTTCACTCCATTTTGAGCAAATTAATAAGAAACTAAGGAGGACCATGACAACTGCATGTACAAAAGTGAATAAAATAAATATCAAAACTACTCTAAAATAAAGTTTTGGCCTCATCAGGTCATTTGTTGAAGTTAATGAGACAGTTGGGCTCGTCCTCTACTCCTGATCAGAGTTTCAGAGTCTGGGCTGACAGCAGACAGAGCTGCTCTCAGATCATGCTCAGTGTCCAACCTGTTCCTCTGCTGTGACCTGAGCTGGACCAAGGTAGAGAAGACACTGTCACACCAACAGGTTGAGCTGAATGGTTTGATGGTTTTAACTGCAAGAGTGGCGAGGGATGGATACTCAGCCATCACATCGCTGCACCAGAAGAGGGAAAGGCTGACCTCCCCACATCTCTTTCTCAGCGTCTGATCACGACAGCTCCACCAGCTGATGCTCTGAGCAGCCACATTTCGTTGTCAAACAGTTCTGCATCCAGGGAGTTAGTCTCAGAGAGGAATGTGGCGATTTCTTATTTAAGTTCGTAAAAGCGTGACAACACCTCGGCCCTCGACAGCCAGCGGACTTCTGGGTGCGTGCAGGCTCCGACAGGCTGGAAGTGGCGGGACGCACAGGCAGCTTTAGGCTACTAAGACCAGTTTAGGTGTTTATGTTAGCGTTGACAGCACCGTTTCCACGGTGGCAGCGGGGAAGCTTATTATTCAGACGGGGGGTGCAGGTGCTGAGCTTTCAGTCCGACCGACCGTCACACTGCTGTATCGGTGGTAGCGGCGGGGGGGAATATTCGGAGATCAAAATTGATATCCTGATTCCAGCACCTCGAACAAATAGTTGGCTATTGAGATCCAGCCCTAGTATGAAAATCCACATTTTAAATGGTCATATTTGCACTTTGCCATCTTGCATCCCAACATCAACACAAACCTAAAATGAACATCAAACAAACTATGGTTACCATGCCTGTCAAAATAAAAGTTTTTCAAAATAAAAAATAAGTTCAACCTGAGATGCACATTATATATTATTTAATTTTGACCAGCTGTCCGCGACCCACCCAGAACAAGTCCGCGACCTACTTTTGGGTCGCGACCCACCAGTTGAGAACCCCTGATCTATAGCATACTCGCTCATCCAACGAGCAGCATGTATGTCGGAGTGATGGACTGGAACAGGAAAAACTAGTAGTTACCCAGAAATCTCTTCACCCAGAGAACCAGCTACCGAGCCATCATGCTCATCAATGACTCATCAACCTGAACGGTTTGTGGAACAGTCAGTTATCACCTCTCCACTAGAGCCAACACTGACGGCTCATCCTCAAACCCAAAACAGTCCGTTTGTGACAGTGACCCTGACCTCAGCCTGTGGTCCCTCTTGACTCCCAGCAGGGCAGCCAGCTGGCTCAGGTTGTGCAGCTTCTGAGCTGGGATGAGAGGCGCCTGGTTGTGTCCAGCCAGCAGGTCTTTCCTAACGTGCTCCTGCTCAAGGCAGGTGAGGAGGTGCTGCACCTGAAGCACAGTGGTCAGGCGCCTCCTCTCGGCCTCCACCTTCACCACCTGCTCCTTCTTCACCACCTTCTTCTGCGTCTTCAGCAGCTGCAGGGACACGACGAGTCCAGAACAGGCTCAGTTGCAAGAAACATTAATTTTTATATAAATACTTAAACAAAATCACTGAAAGGTTCATAATCTGGAAAGAGTCTTAAAATATATATAATAAATTCAATTATAAAATAAAAACACAAATTATATTTAGACTCCAGCGGGTTTTCAAATGACCTTTAAACCCACCACAGCAGAATCATGTGCTCACATAGTCCAATCATTCTGGCTGCAGTCAGAACAAACACAATGTAAAGTGACCGGCAGCTGGATCAGCTCAGACTTACATTCTGAGTCAAGCGGTCAAGTGTTTTGTGCAGGTCCCGGGCAAATTCCAGGTTATGTACCACCTCATCGTACTTTTCCACGGCCACCTAAAACAAGACAGACAGACAAAGAGCAAACGACAAGCTCGGCTCTGAACACAATCACTCATTGTGGTTTGTGGGGTCAGATGCGTTTCCACTTGGACTCACCATCTGATCTTTGTTGAGCGCCTCGCCCCGGTTCAGCCTCTTCTTGTATTCTCTCAGTTTCAGCTGTGGGCACACAAGACGCATCACAAAATCCAGGAGCCCGCCATCACCCACCTGCTCTCAAAGCACTCTGACCATCCTACCTTTTTCTTCTCCAAATTGCGGACTTTGTGTTTGAGGCAGATGAGGCCATCTTTTACGTAGGTTTCATAGCCGTGATAGGTGGCGGAGACGTCCAGGCTGAGCTGCAGGGACCGACTGGCAGAGCCCACTTCTGGGCCACCAGCAGGGTCCTCCAGTGTCTCCTCATCCTCCTCCACTGAGTGCTCAGGTGGAGGGCTGACATCTGGGGTGGGGGAAGGAGACAGCTGCACCATGTTGATCTCCACACTGGAAGAAAAGAGGCACATAGTCGTGGGATCCATGCAGCTGCAACAGAGATGCTGCTGCTGCTGCTGCTGCTGCTGCTGCTGCTGCTTCACAGGGATGGACGGAGCCCAGTTTGGGCAGCTGCCAGCCCCGTGACACTGCATTTACAGCGCCAACACCATCATCAGCTGCTCTCTGGATCAATCCTGAAGGCAGCCGAAGCAGGAAGCACCTGCTCCAAACACAAACAGCATGCGAGGACACACACTTTTCCTGCAGCTACACAACTCCGCGCGTGTGCTGCATTGGAGTCACAGCTGTGCTGCTGGGTGTGGATTCACAGCAGCAGCACAGCGAACAAGTGCCACAAATAAGCTGCATGTGATGAGCAATCACAGCCACCGGACGAGCACAATCTGCAATCAGGTCCGGATGGCATGCGGTCCGGACGAACCCAGCCAAACTTTGCTGCACGTCTCCCGTTAAACGCGCAGACACTCGTCCGTGGGACTTCATTTCAAAGTTTGTCACCATGTTTTTTGTCAGAATCAAACGCCACCGCGGACTCACCTCGTCTCTGTAAATCTCCGCAGGAAGAGCCTCTGAACATCGGAAAGCCCCGGAAGCGAGCGGCCCCGTCTCCAACCGTGATGTTGAGCTGGCAGAGGCCACGCCGGCCTCCGTCCACACCTTTATATAGCGCCACGCACGGCGGTCCGGCTCAGGTCCAGCCCATCCGGGGAACACAGCGCGTCCTGATTGGAGCAGCACCGGCACACAAACACACATCCCTGCACGCGTGTCGTGTTTCTGAGTGGAACTGTGGATGTTTTCCTTCGTTGCATTATTATTATTATCATAGTGCAGGTGAAGGGCAGCCAGCAGACCTGTGTGGGAGTCAAGCTGCACAGTTTATGCAACAAATAACTAGTTAGTAGTTTATTTGCACATCTAACAGACATGGAGCAGCATGAACATTGATCTGGGGTCTGCTTTACTGTGTTCATCAGTATATCTGATGTATTTGGGCTCAAACGTAGCTGCAGCCTGAAGCTTTAAAAAGATCAGATGCTCCATGAGAGTGCAGAGATGGTTTGTTTTAACGTGTCCGGTCCAGCATCACAGCAGAACGATGACCTGGCTGCTGCTGTGTTGAGCTGAACAGATTTACTTTATGAACATAAGGCCCCTCCTCATAGTCTGATGCTTATTTATTTATTTATTTATGCATTCATTCTGTTTTATTTCAGTCATTTATTTTGAATGCTTGCTTATGACTGAATTGAATGAAGTATTGCTGGACCTGAAAGAGGGAAAAAGAAAAGTGTACAGTTTAGAGAAGTTAGAGAAAGTAGAAGAAAACAAATACACCACAATCTACCTCCACCTGTACCAGCACACAGCAGGAATGATGATCATCCAGAGCAGCTGTAAGAGGTGAGGAGGCTGAGAACACCTCAACGACTACCAGAGCATAAGGTTTATATGTGCACACACTGAGGAGAAAAGAGGGAAAAGAAAAAACAAAAGAACAAACAGACTACATTTCACACCTCTTTTAGTCATGGTCATTTAATTCTTTGAGAATGTAAAAACATCCACATGTCAGTGATCTGCTGCTTCTGGCAGTGAACACAGCAGACTCCACCTGAAACACACTGACTGTCACATTCACAATACTTGTTGTTATACTTGTCAATGGAATGACAATCTTTGAAGGGTTTGTAGTATGAAACATCATTTTATTGGAGCACCATATTGTGTACATTGATGGGAGCCAACCTCCGGCTCTGGGAGCTTAAAGATGCATTTCTTGACCACTTTCAGCAAATAGCTTTGTCAGCTAGCAGTTTATTTGAACAGACATGGAGCAACACTGACAACCATTTGGAGTCTTCATTCGGTACATCCTTTTCTTTCTTGCTGCAGTGAGCTGAAATCCAGGTTACTGAGCGTGACGCTGCAGCCTGACAATCAAAACAGGCGTAAAGAAGGTAAAATGGAACTGCAGAGCTGGTCGGTCACTCTCTGTTGGATTTTCATTATGAGCAGCACTCATTTTACCCCCTTTGGCCGTTTAATTCCTTAACTGTGCAGCTTTAAGTCAGTAATCAGAGCTCTTGTAGAGGACCTCTGTCAGAATCTGGCTTTCAGACTTGTCTTAG